GCTAGTCACTGATTATTTTCACCAACCCTATACTTTGGTCTTTTCCGAAATGTTACAAAATTGGAATCAGAGTACACATGTTCCCGAGACTTACAATGATTTGACTTACAATTTTTTTTTAAACTTTTAAGATGTATGAAACAATAAGCATTCAGTAAAGGCCATACTTTTAGTACCCATACAACCATTCTGTTTTTTTTACTTTCAGTTACAGTAGTCAATTAAATTACATGAGATATTCAACAATTTATTATAAAATATTGGCTTTGTGTTAGATGCTTTTTGCCAACTATAGGTCTAATATAAATGTTCTGAACACAATAAAAGGTAGGCTAGGCTAAGCTACGATGTTTGGTAGGTTACAGTGTTTTAAATGCATTTCAGTTCACAATATTTTCAATTTACAATTGTTATAACAGTGAGTAACCCCATCACAAGTTGAGGAGCATCTGTACATAGCCTTCTCAGACTGGCTTCGTTAACTCAGCAATATTCAATTAAAATGTATCCTTGTCCTTCATAGCTTGATAGATCATTTCTTTTTCATCGAGTAGCATCCCACTTGTTTGGATTTGTACCATCAGATTACATTATCCATTCACCTATTGATGGGTATCTTTGTTATTCTTGTCTCAGGCAATTATGAATTAAATATGATTTAACATTTGTGTGCAGGTTTCTGTGTGGCCAGAACTGTTCAAATTGTTGAGTAAATATCTAAAGGCAATGATTACTGAATGACATAGCAAGAGTTATAATCACCTTTCTAAAGAAACTACCAACTGTCTTGCAATACAACATTACCATTTTGCATTCCTGCCAGCAACAGGTGAGATTTCCATTGGCTCTATATCCTTGACAAAAATTGCTAGCGGTTAGGGTTTTTTACTTTTATTTTTTTGATTTTGACCATTTAAAATGTATAGTTGCATAATATTGTTGTTTTAATTTGCAATTCCCTAGTGAGATATGATGTTAAGCATATTTTCATATGCTTATTTACTACCTGTATATCTTTTTCTGTTCAGATTTTTTGGCCAATTTTTCTGACCTTCTTTTATTTTTATTATTTTTTAATTTTACTTTAAGTTCTGGGATACACGAAAGAATGTGCAGGTTTGTTACATAGGTATACATGTGCCATGGTGGTTTGCCGTGCCCATCAACCCATCATCTAGGTTTTAAGCCCAACATGCATTAAGTATTTGTCCCCTTGCCCCCACCCTCCGACAGGCCCTGGTGTGTGATGTTCCCCTCCCTGTGTCCACGTGTTCTCATTGTTCAACTCCCACTTATGAGTGAGAACATACAGTGTTTGATTTTCTGTTCCTGTGTTAGTTTGCTGAGAATGATGGTTTCCAGCTTCATCCATGTCCCTGCGAAGGACATGGACTCATTCCTTTTTATGGCTGCCTAGTATTCCATGGTGTATATGTGCCCCATTTTCTTTATCCAGTCTATCATTGGTAAGTATTTGGGTTGGTTCCAAGTCTTTGCTATTGTAAATAGCACTGCAATAAACATGTATCCATGTGTCTTTATAGTGGAATGATTTATAATCCTTTGGGTATATACCCAGTAATGGGAATCCTGGGTCAAATGGTATTCCTGGTACTAGGTCCTTGAGGAATCACCACACTGTCTTCCACAAGGGATGAACTAATTTACACTCCCACCAACAGTGTAAAAGCGTTTCTATTTCTCCACATCCTCTCCAGCACCTGTTGTTTCCTGACTTTTTAATGATAGTCATTCTAACTGGCGTGAGATGGTATCTCATTGTGGTTTTGATTTGCATTTCTTTCTCTAATGTCTGCCCTTCTTTTAGAAGCTAAGACTTCTGGTATGATGTTCGATAGAACTGGTGAAAGAGGACATCCTTGCTCTGTTCTTGATCTTAGGAGGAAAGCGTCCAGTTTTCATTGTTAAGTACAGTGTTAGTTGTGGGTATTTTTATAGTTGCTCTTTATCAAATAGAGGAAGTTCTCCTGTATTTCTACCTGTCTCAGGGTTTTTATCATGAAGGGATGTTGAATGTTTTTAGTGCCTTTTCTGCGTCATTTGATATGATCATGATTTTTTTCTTTAGTTTCACGTTGTGGTGGCTTATATTTGTCAATTTTTAAATGTTGAACCAATCTTGCATACCATAAATTAATCCCACTTGGTCATGGTGCATAATTTTTAATACAATTATGTATTTAATTTGCTATTTTTTTGAGAATTTTCTCAAGTCGGTCTATACTTTCCAACTCTCTGTTGAGATTTCCTCTCTATCCATTCATAGTTATCTTTTTTTTCAGTCCCTGAGAATATTTATAGTAGCTGTTTTAAATTCCCTGTCTACCAATTCCAACATGTGGATTATTGCAAGGCCTTTTTATATTGAATTTCTGAGGCTTTGTCCACAGTTTTATTTCTATGAGGAAAAATATATGGGCCAGAAAACAGCATGATGCCAGTTTCCAAAACTGGGTAGTACATCCAAAACCCGGAATTTTCCACTGGTAAAATTGCAATTATTTTAAAAGTTTATAGATTGAGTGAGAAAGAGAAGTGACGTGATGATAGATGAGAGATAAACAATAAGTTTTAAATAAAAACAGAATTTCAAAATTTTCTTTTTTTCACTGAATATATTTTAGGATGCTTTCATGTCAATAATTTCACAATGACACTATCATCACTTCCTATGGATGTATTTCAGCATATGGATGTATCTTGTTTGATTTAAGTAATTTTCGTTATTTCTACCTTTTCACTTTCATTACCAACACTGCTGTGAAACTTCTTCACGTGTTTATTTTTTTTTTTAACTTTGCCTCATTCTTTCCCCAAAATTAAGTTTGTAGTAAGAATTTTGGATCCAAATATATGCCAGTTCTTACAAATACTGCTATTTTCTTATTTGCTTTCAGAAAACCACTTATATTCCTATCAACAGTGTACATTTTCATCTTTGGCAATATCATAATCAGAAGTTAAAATTTTTTTGTTGACTTAACTTGCATTTCCAAAATTAAAAATAAGATTGGATATTATCATATGCACTAACAATGTATATTTCTTCTGTGAATTACTTGTTAACATCTTTGTTTATTTTTTAGTTGGAGAGTTAATCTTGTTTTAATTTATATGAACGTGCTATTGGTATACTAAGGAGGTCAACCATTTATCTGCCTTATTTATTAAAAATATTTTTTCCATGAAGTCATTTATCTTCTTTTTTTGATGGTTTTGACTCACTAAGTATTTATTTTTGTATGCAGTCAAATCTGTTGATCTTGTCCTGTTTTGTGATTGCTGTCATAGTTAGAAAACCTTGTTTACCATTAAATTACATAAATATTTATAAATATTGCTAATATAAGAGTGGACACAGAATGAGAGAGCACTTTGGAATTATACAGATATTGGATCAGATTCCAGCTTTGCCATTAACTAGCTGTAACATATTGTATTTTTCAGAGATGGCTGCAACAATAGCTCCCATACCACAAGATCTTCTACAATTTTACTACTCTCTAATCAAAAGATTAGATTTAGAATCTGGCCAGGCTTGTAACTCACTTGTAATCAATAGAACATGGCAGAAGTGATGAAGCATGACTTCCAAGGTTAGGCCCTAAAATGAGACGCAATTCCTATCTTGTCAGCTATACATTTACCTTTAGAGCCTTAAGCTACCATGTAAGAAGTTTGGGACCCCTATGCGGTGAAGGGGCCTGGGCTGCATGCAGAGTCTCCATGTAGGTGTTCTGACAAGAGCCCCAGGTGACATCACAACTTATACTACCATCAACTCCAAAGACATGTGAGTGGAGACACCTCCAAATGATTTCAGTTTCTAGCTCTTTCATCACTTTCAGTCTTGGAGTCTTCCCAGTTGAGGCCTTAGACATCACAGCACACAGACAAACCTACTGTATACTTTCTTAATTCCTGATCCATGGCACTAGTGAACACAATAATTTGTTATGTAGCAATAGTAACTAGAAAGCTTAATTGTGTGACATTTGACAAGTTACTTAACCAGTCTGTTCTTCAAGTTTCTCATCTATTGAACTGTCTTGTAATAATAGCTACTTTATGGGAAGTTAAGGTTACATGAGATCATATATTAAAAATGCTTGACGTGTGCCTAGCACATAACTACAAGTTCAAATAATGATAGCCACAACAAAAAGCAAGCTTTTCTTTATTACATTTACATGCGTAATACACGTGAAATTTATTTTGGTTTAATAGGTAAGGTTGTGTGAGTTATTTACCAGTCAATTACAAAGTAACAGATCGTTAGCCAAAGTATTGTCCTTTAAAAAGATATTTGAAGAAACAATTCTCTGTATAATTATGTATATATATGAAAAAAGAACATGTGCATATCAGAGGATAAATTCTTGGTGTTTTATCATGTGGGTAAAGAAATTTTCACCTAACTTTTGCTACGTTTGTTTGATCAGGTTAGAAAATGGAAGTGGGAAGAATATCCGAAGATAGGGTAAGGCACAGAAAATATTCTCCAAGGTTAGAGAAATGTTATCTAGTCGGTAAGGAAGCCTAAGAAGAAAGATTATCCTGACTCAGGAAGAGTTAGTTTAGACACTACACACACTATTACTTGGAAGTGCCAAAATGTAACTTCGTTTTCTAACCTGAACTCATTTTGTTTTAGAGCTCTATTCACAGTGAGACAAAACACTTGGTCTTGTCAGCTTAAAATTTAGAGAATAAGGGAATGAAGGGAAGTTAGGGGGGAATTACTAACAAAAACATGGTCTCAGCTGAAGACTAGCTTTAGTTGGATCCCGTGGAAAAGCTCTGGGGTACAAACTGCACCACAGACTTAGTTCTACCTTAATACAAGGGGCCCAGCCATTCATTGGCTGAGGCCCATATGCAGGTTGTGAGTTTAGCATCTGGGCAAGGCTGCTTCTATTAATATTTAGCAGAGAGAAATCTCCAAAGAAGTCAGTAACTGTGAGTTGTCATAAGTCAACACATGATGCAACTGGGTGCACTTATCAGCAAAGGGGATTTTGGAAGCCACCAAATTCAAATCCAAATCATCCACTACATAAAGACAAATTCAACGCTATAATGCTGAGAATGCCAAAGTATGCTCTTGAAACATAAAGATTTTATAATTAAAACTCTCTGCGTGCTTCACAAAACCAAACTTTGGCTTTGTTTAACATCGATTCAAAAATATTTTTAAAGTCTGTTTTGAAAACCAAAGCTAAACAATATTTTCTTTTCTTTTTCTGGACTGACTTCTACCATCCCCATGATTCAATGGGGAGAGAGCTCTTACACAACCAGAGCCCATAACTCAAACTTAAAATATTCATGTTGCGTTAGCTTTTCTAGTTTGCTTGTCTACCGTGAAACAGCTGTCTTCATGTATCTTTCATCCTGACTCTTCAAAATCCAAATTGAGAATTCCTCAGAAAGCATTATATTCTCAGACATAGACAAAGATAGGGTATACCAGACTACTCAGATAGAAGGTTGGTTGGTTCATTGTAAGAATTTTATGTGGCATAAGAGAAAGCAGCTCATGGAAGACCAGGACCAAGAACTGCAGTCAGCCTCATAAGGACAGAAACACCAGGGTTAGTGTGTATCCAAGGAAAACGTGCCACGTTGGCCACAGGTGTGCTCCAACATCAATGCTACTTAGTTTCTCTTCCTATCTGTTTCTCTCTGTGTCTGCCTGCTTCTCTTTCCACCACTGTTACCCCTATATGCTACCTTTCTCACACTTTCTGCATACTCATAACTTCCTCTTACACAGGGCACTCTGTTACTTGAACGCTACCTCATGGTATCTATTTACATCCTATTATCTTCAACTACCATGCCACCTGCCACATTATCAGCATTTTGTTTTCTCAGTCCCATGAGAAGAACCTGACTAGCCATCCTTAAAAAAACACTCTGTTCCCAATCTAATCACCTAGTTCAACCATGTGCCCAAGGCTGCCTGGCCGGCCAGGGCAATGATAATTCAAGCCAATTCTACCCACAGCAAGTTATCTCTCAGATCTTAGTTTTTACCAATTGAAATGCCCCCTGAAATTTTCTCTAATGCCTTATCCCTGTCTGTTCAGGTTTTTTTTCTGCCCTGAGGTTCCCCCAAGAGCTCTATCAGAGAAAGACTTGGCCCATGCCGCCAACACACTGGGAAGCTGGGGTTAGCCCTCTCCAGAACCCATGGGCAAAAAAAGACAGTGCCAGAAAGTGTCGGGGCTAATCCAAAGAGAATTCCAACTGAGAGAAGAGTGTAGATGAGGATACAGGATACTCACAGAAATCTCAGTACAAATTGGAGATTATTATGGCCCAAGTGTTCACATATTCATACAGGAGATAACAAATGACTAAGTCTGAGCTTATTCATGGCAGTATCACGTAAGGAGAGCAAAACCCCTCCCACCTGTGAGTGACAGGGATGTGCAAAGAGTGAGTCTAGGGCTCCATCATCACTGGGCTCTGCTGCCCGCACTGCGTCTCCTTATGCCTGCTTGTTTTTTCACTATGAGCTGGCTTTCTCACTCTGTACCGTTGCATAGAAGAAGAGAGCAAAATTCAGGTTCAGGGAAGAGAAAAAAAGGGTAGTGGTTGAAAAAGAACCCCAAATCCAGGAGATATACAGAGCTAAACTCCCTCAGGGAGGTTGCAGTAGTTACTATGATTACAACAGATGAGCTCTGCCCTCTTCGAGAACCCCAAGAAGTTGATGTCCTCACAGTTGGTCATACACGACAGTTTTGAATAATGATACAGGCTCTGCCCTGAGGAGGTAAAAAAGAGGAAATATGATCATAATGACCTCATTTCCTTTCACTGCATTCTTAGGAGTAATCTGTTTTTGTCCTCACTAACCTTTCTCTAGGCCCAAATGAGTTCCAAAGCTGAGTCTGTTCATTGCTGACCCAGAGAGTAGATTTTATTCCCTGCCAGGTAAGGGACATCAGCCTCTTTTTCACCCAATATGGTCTTAAGGAAAAGTCTGTCTTTGCCATCCCCTCATGACCACCCCATACTCACCCATCCCATTCACCCACTCACTCTGAGGGCAAAAGAACACCACTGTTTCTCACGGATAGTGGTGGTGATTTTCCAGTCACTCTATACTCCACATTACCTGTAACTGTAAGGACGTAAAAGTTCTCAACTGCACAGGACTGTTTAGGCTTCAGGGAGCAGGATGTCATGACATCATAGCATAACCCGAGATGATATTTTTTACATTTATAACACATTATTTCAGTCGCTGTCAGATACAAAAAGAGGTGCTTAGAGGATGCAGTCTTGAGAACATTCTCTGGGGCTGGTGGCTTCACTACAGGAACTTACTCTTGCCTAGTGGTTCCTAACATTTTTTGGACCATGGACTCCTGGTAATCTTGAGAAAGATAGGGATCATCATGCTGTGGTCCTCCCCATGTACACATTAATACATTTGTACACATTTTCTCCAATTAAAAATATCTTGTGAAAGATAACCTGTGCAAACATAAATCAAATACTGTATATGACTTTGGGAGGTCAGGGTTCTCATGAAATTTATCCATGTAATGAACCCCTTATCTAGCCTGATGATTTTGCCGAGTAATAGGTAAAAGAAAGTAAAGTGGATCTTAGCCTCGTTACTCTAAGAAATGGACAAAACAGGTCTGGCAGGAGGCGAAACCCCTAGGATTCTATAATAAGAATGGATTACAGGGCTCTCTGAAGATGAAGGGAAGGTTTGCTCCTAAATATGTCATAAATCACCTGTTTACCAAGGTAAACAGGTAAACTTGTCTGAAGTCCTGTTTACCAAGGACTTCAGACAAGCCATGATTGTACCTTCTACACGGTCATGAAGTTCACCTGTGAAAAGAAGAAAAACCTTCCTTGTTATAATCTCACATACATTTGCCACTGCCCCAAGAGCCAATTTTGAAAACTGCCTCTTCCCCCAGCATCTGTCCATCTCTTAACCAACCACCAGCTTCCCCTCTGTCTCCAGGACTTACCCCAATATGGGCAGAGCAGAAAGATTGTGCTCAGCAGAAAGAGAACAAGCATCCTGGAGCTTCTGTCGGGTGCAGCTTCCTCTGGAAGGAGTGAGTTGTTCTTTCGTGATCTGGGCTAGTCATCTAAATTATATAGTCATAAAATTTCAGGGACAGATAGTATGACAATGTTCCCAGGGCCAAACCACCATATCTGATTGCTGCACAGCATTCTAAAGAGGGTAATCACTTTGATTTTGTGCAAATCCTCTAATGAAAATGAAATTGTAATGTTCCTGATTCACCAGACCTGCTCCTACTTCAATATTGCAGAGTTTTAAGAAGTATTTTCAACTTCTCATTTTAGATTCAGGGGGTACATGTGCAGGATCGTTACAGTGGTATACAGCTTGATGCTGAGGTTTGGGGTACGAATGATCCCATCACCTGGGTAGTGAACATAGCACCCAACAGTTAGTTATTCAATCTTGCCCAGTCCCTCCTCACAATGTTGCAGATTTTAGTACATCTGGGAGGCATTCTTTACCGCTTCTTGTGTTTCATCCTCATTGAGCAATCTAACAGCAAGTCTCATCCATTTTACCTACTAACTTCTCACATGGGTTTATTACTCTCTGTCGCCACTGCCATTACCATAATCCAATCTATCATCCTGTCTTGCCTGGACAAAGCAATGGCCTTATTTTTGGCCTCCATGCTTCTCCCCTGCCCCTTCACAATCATTTCTTCATAAAGCAGTCAGAGAACAAGTCATAGATGCCACACCCCTGCTGAAAACCCTCTGATGACTTTTTATTACCTTTGAAAGAAAATCCAGAGTTTTTATCATAGCCATCAACGGCTTCCTCATTATGAGCAATGGCCTCCTCTCCAATCCCCTTTGTCTCCACTTTTCCCTTGCTCACTCAGGTCTTTGCTCAAATATCACCCCCTCAGACAGAGCAGCATTTTCTGCTCAATCTCTAGAAAATGACAGCCTTCATTTCCTACCCTTTTCCCTGTTTTATGTTTTATAGCAATTCTCATTAGCTGATCTTACATTCCTATTGGCTCACTTTTTTACTCCTCCACTAGAACAAAGCAAGGAGTTTCTTTGATTTATCACGGCACACTTGGCATCTAGAGGCTGGGAACAAAGGAAATGCCCAACAAATATTTGTGAGAGGAATCAATAATGTTCTTCCCATATCCTGCCTTGCATCCCTCCAGTCCATTCTCCACAGAGCATCCAACTTTATTAGATTGGTTTTTTGAACTATAATAAAGATGAGAAATGAGACTTTCTACATTCCAGCAAGGGTTCCAAGATAGTAGGTAGCGAGTGTTTCACATTTCACAGGAAAATGCTATGCGACTTAGGCAGATTTACAAAGAAAATCAGTGAGACTGTGTTTAATATCCTGGACTTGCTGTCCACCTGGAGGGTATAAATAAACAGTGAAGTGCCAGAAAATAAAATGGAAGGAGTTTCTATAGTCTAGGGTGAGGGTTACTTTTCTATATATGGCTCAAAACATAGAACCATTAAAAAAATGATTACTTATATTTTTAAAAAGTCTTCTACATAAATGGAAAACCAATCATTAATCCATAAGCAAAGCCCAAATAACAAATAAACCATTAAAAATATTTGCAACTCGTATCTCAGACTAAGGGCTAATCTCCCTATTATACAAAGATATTCCAGAAAGTGATTTTTAAAGGACTAACAATTCAAAGGGGAGGGAGGCAGTCAATAATAACGTCATAGTTCACAGAACAAAAAAACCAAAAATGCTTCTTAAACACATGAAATATGGTGACCCTTACTCCTAATTTTAGTCATGTACATTAAAACTAAATTCAGATATTAGTTTTACTTAACAGATTGACAATAATCAGAATTTGATAACACAACTGTGTTGGCAAGATTGGAGTAAAACAAGCACTGTCATACACTGCTGATAGGTCTGTAACTTCATATATCATCAGTAAAGAATAAAATTAGACAATAGCTCTCAAAATTATAAAGAAATTGTCATCTTAGCCCAGTAACTGCATAAGAATTTTCTTGCACATTTGGCCTTGTTTCTAGGATTCTTCAGGGAAAAAAGTAGATAGATGAATAGATGACAAATACCTTGTGAGTTCCTGTTGATATTTTCAATTGAAATTCAAGACTGCAAAGTTTTAACTTTATATTACAACTGTACCTCTTTTGTTTTACACTGAGAATTCTACTTCTCAAGGACACAGAATTAGAACAGAATTAGAATGATATATATGGTATATAAGATGTAAGACAGAATATTACATGTATATGAATTATAATATGGAATATACAGGATAGAATTAAATTAGAATTCAATAGAATTAGAATGTCCTATAATCAATCATTTGCTTTATCCCACATTAAACACCTACAAGCCCCAGCATAACAATACCGTCACTAATGGTGGTTACTAAAATAGTTGTAAAATTTTGTCTATGCTCTTTATTTTCTCAACCACTACCACCTGCATTTTTTTATGGTTATACAATATCTAATTATCTAACTCTATGGTCACTACATACTACACTCTCTGCCTTTTAATCTTTACTTAGTCTTTGTTCTATTAGTAAGTTTATATTTAAACTTGACCATCAGCCCATATGTTGAGGTCTCACTAGTCATTTTGTCTATCTGAAGTACTTTTTCTTGATTCATTGTTCAGAAAGAAATTATAAAAATAATAATTCTGAAATTCTGGTATGTCAAAAAACTTTATGTTCTTTACACTTGAAAGTAATTTTCTGTCCCTTATAAGTTGTACGATCTTTTGACTTAAAAGCTCAAAGGATTTTTTTTTTAAGTTCACTAACTTTACAAGACCATGTGTTTGTTTTGATCACTCTAAGTCATTATTCTCAGGTACACAGTGTGCTGTTTCAATGGGAAGTTTCTGTTCTTCAGAAAAGTTTTATTATGGTTATTAATTTTTAATACTTGTCTGTTCTTTTTCTTTTTTTTCAAGAGCTTCTATCATTTGTATAGTGAATCTTTTTTATTTTAAAAAACTCACTTTTTATGTCTTTAAATTTCATTATTCATTTATTTTAGATTTTAAATTTTTCTTCTTTTTCACTTTCTCTTTCTCTTAATTTAATATTTCATTATTTGCTCTCATGCTTCTTATATTTTGTATGGGAGAGCAGTGCACCATGGGCCCAGAGCATCACTGCACGTTCTTGCTGGGGATGCCAAAAATGTGAGGCTCTGGCTGCTTTTCACCCAGGCCATATCTCAGGGTTATGTTTGCAGTGAGGAACCTTGAAGAATGCGGTAACAAAGAGTAGGGTTGATTCCACTTAGTATACAACTGGTAGATTCCTCTAGTACAGTGTTCCTAAGCTTCACCACAAACCCACAGTGTGACAGCATCGACCTGGGCCTCATATATTTCCCACCATGAGACTCAGGGAACCAGAGGAGTACTGCAAATCAACATGAAGCGCTGGCTTCTGCTTTTGCTGTGAGTGCTAAAATCCTTTGTTTTTGGTTGTTGTTGTTAGTTTGTTTTGGTTTTGTTTGTATGTTTGTTTGTTTTTGAGACAGAGCCTTGCTCTGTCACCCAGGCTGGAAAGCAGTCCTCCCAGGCTTAAGTGATCCTCCTGCCTCAGCCTCCCAAGCAGCTGGGATTAAAGGCATGCACCACCACGCCCAGCTAATTTTTTGTATTTTTAGTAGAGATGGGGTTTTGCCATGTTGGCCTGGCCTCAAGTGATCCGCTTACCTCAGCCTCCCAATATGCTGGGATTATAAGCAGAGCCACTGCACCTGGCCTTTTTGTTTTTAACCCAGGGGTTTTGTTTCTTCCACCAGCATCCATCAAACAATAACAGGCTAGCTTGGTAGCTTGCAAGTAGGATAAAATCCAGACCCTTAATAGTCCTTAACAGTTTGAGAGATGAAGATGAGATAATGACAGACACCATCTCTCTGGAAGGTAAAGGACAAGGGCTCCCACATGACAGGACTAAGAGATAATAGAAGACATCCTGGAATCCAGTAGCAAGTGCTTGCACCCAAACTCGTGGGAGGTAAGGGAACCCCCGCGTGTTATCTGCTTGTATTAGTTTTCTATTGTTGCATAGAAAATTACTATAAGTGTAGTGGCTTAAAGCAACACATATTTTATTATTTCACAGTTTCTATAATTCAGAAGGTTGGACACAGTATAACTAGATTTTCTGCTCAGGGTCTCACCAGGCCGAAATCCAAGCATCATCCAGGGATACGGTTCTTATCTGGAGTCCAGGACCTAACAACACATTCCAACAACCCTGAATCACTGAATCCTGCCAACTGCTATGTGACTGAGAATGGAAGCAGATTCTTTCCCAGTTGAGCCATGAAAGAACTATGTCCTAACCAACAACTTGATTACAATCTGGGAGAGACACTGAACCAAAGGACCCAGCTAAAACACACTCAGATTCTGACCAACAGAAAATAATAAATTTTACTTTTTCAAGTCATTAAGGTTTGAGAAATTGGTTACACAGCAATACATAACTGTATTAGCAGAAAGCACCAAGAATTACAGGACAAACTATGGCAGCTCATGTGGAGACAAAAAGAAAGAGCCTCAGATGCTGGGAGGCCTGTGTGGGTGAGGCAAAGTGTCACAGGTGACAAAAAGCCTTCCACTTCTCCAGTTATCCCTCCAAGGCAGCTTTCTCCTCCTCCCTGCGTATTCTACACCCCTGAGAATAACAAACTCCTTGTAGCTATTGTAACCCCAGAAGTCTGCATTAAACAATTTGCTCTTCTTCCTGTAGGGAAAAAAATTCAAAGGATAGAGTCTAGGCAAAACTTGCAGTGGAATCCAAACAACAGCTACAGGAACCCCTACAGCTGCGTTGGAAGCTGTAGGGCCAGCTGTGTCTCACTTTTTACCTGGAGGGCCCCATAATCCTAATGACCTCTTCTAGCTGCACACCTCTGTGACTGCTGATTTTGTCACCCGGAGACTCTAGGAACCAATAGACAACCTCCACCCAGAGACATTCATTGGTGTCACCTCCCTGACAAAGCTACATGCCTTTTGAAAAGTATCTATTGACATGCTATTAAGCTTTCATGAAAATGAAATGCCTAGGAA